GCCTGAGAGCTGGATCTGAAATATTTAAGTTGTGCTTGGACAGGGAATATTCACGCAGAATTTCAGCCTTCCAGCTTTCCTGGTTGTCGAGTTAGCAATTTTCCCCCTAAAACTTCTACACGCTCTTACGTGGGTACCACACAAACCTGGGGGCTGAATTTGAAAACTTTAGCCAGTACATGCACAGGGAATATCCCTACAAAGTTTCAGCCCCTTAGTTCATGTGGTCCCCGAGATCGCTCTCCCGCCAAAAAATCTGCATATTTTTTTAAAGGGCAAGTACACGGCGCCTAGGCGTCCGCAGGGGATGATATTAAAATGGGAGGGACGCGCATTGTATTGGCACATATTCCCAAGTTTCACCTTTCTGTCTTTTCCCGTTCCCGAGTTATCAATTTTCCCGCCAAAAGTTTCACCCTCTCGTAAGCGGAACCCAGACATGCGTGAGGATTGGTACCGCGGTTCTGGGGCGAAACTTGAGCGGGGAAGCAATTGGTAAAATTTTGGCGCCGGAGCTTGCTTGGTTGCCAAGTTGAAATACTCGCACAGACGAACACACACACACACGCACACACAAACATACACACACATGTACACGCAGGCAGGGTTGTTGCAATATGTGTTTCTGCTGTGCAGCGCTACAGCACTGCTACAGCCAGCAAAAACTCATTTTTTTTGTCCAGAGGCTGTTTGTATGTGTTCAGAAGCGAGTGCATTTTGTCACCACTTTCATTTCAGCAACAGGAAAGCTGGGAATCTGAAGCTTTGGATATATGTTTCTATCCTGTGTATCACCCCTCCGTTTCAATATCTTCCCCCACACGCGCCTAGACCCTGCATACGGGCCTCCCAAAAAAATATGTTGGCGGGAAACGATTTCGCGAACCAAGCAAGATAGAAAGTTGAAACTTTGCAGGGATATTGTCTATGCGCGTGCGAGCTAAAGATTTTAAACTCAGTTGTTGAGCGCCCCAACCACAGTCTCACGCAGCTCCTCAAACCAAAAATCGTAAAGAAATTTATCGCAACTAGGGCCCGAACCCCAACTGTATATGTAAATGAGCACTAGTTAATATACACGGATTTTTTGACAAACGATCGCTCGAACAGTACTTCCACTTTTTAGTGAACTGGAAATTTGCATTTTTCAAAAAATTTGCATTTGTCATTTTTTCACAAAGCGAACATCTGCCGAAAAAATGATCGAGCTTCATGCAAAAAAAAACCGGTAATCATGCACCTGGATGTCCGTGCGGCTCTATAATGCACCACCTTCATCCCA